TATATATATATATATATATATATATATATATATATATATATATATATTTATTTATTTATTTATAAGTCCCCACATAATAATGGGGAAAGATTCCATCTAGGAATCCACATGATATTAGATGTTCTTCTTTCTTTTTCTGTTTTATTATTATAAATAATAATTATATTATTTATTATATTATTTTTACATTATTGCTTGCATTTTAAATTCAAGGATATTGCCCTTTATTGAATACTATTATCTCCTCTTGAAGGAATTAGGTTGGAATTAGGAAAGTCTGTTAAAGGAATAGCTGAGGCAGAAAGTTGCAGCTACGATGAATGTAACAAGACCATGGTGAAAATAAGAATACGAAATAATACCAACACATAATGTGTTGGTTCCCTTTTCTTCTAGTATTGACATATAGGCTGGCCTGTTCCAATTTTTGACTATGTTCTCTGGCATAGTTCGGTTATAATCTTTACAGATTCTTCTTCAGTTGTTTGGAATATTTCTATGGCTATTCCATAAATTCCTGTATGCTTCTGATTTTCACATTCATTCTTAACAACACATTTGATTTCATGCTACAGTTCTCTTTGTTCCCTATATATAAAATTCAGAACTTCAAAGTGGTTTCTGATGTTCTCCTTAAAACTGGTGGATATGTGCTCAAGATCATAATATGGAAACTAGTTGGCTTTCTTCTTTAGCTTAATGGGAAGCTTTCATATTAGCAGTTCATGAATTCTTCCACAATCATCCCCTGGCTATTTTTTTTGCTGTACAACTGAATTTTCTACTTCCCTGTAGCAATAATATAGTCGATCTGATTTCGCTGAATTCAAGCTGATGAAGTTCATATACAACACATAGAAATCATTCTGATTATAGGTAATCCTTGATTTATGACCATAATTGACCCCAACATTTGTGTTGCTAAGCAAGACAATTGTTAAGTGAATTTTGTCCCATTTTACAACACATAGTTGTTAAGTGAATCAATGAATGAATGAGTAACATTCATTTTTTTTAATTAGGAATTAAAGTGAGTAACATGGTTGCCAAGTGAATCTGGATTCCCCATTGACTTTGCTTGTCAGAAGGTTGCAAAAGGTGATCACATGACTCATAGACCCAACAATCTGGGTCTTCATTTTACCGACCTCAGAAGGATGGAAGGCTGAGTCAACCTTGAACTGGTGAGACACGAAATGTCAAACTGCTGGCAGCCGGTGATCAGCAGAAGTAGCCTGCAGTAGTGTATTCTAACCACTGCACCACCACGGCTCTGCCAATGATTGCATATACTCAAACACTGTCCTTGCTATATATTCTTCCTATAAAAGCAATACTGATCCTTCTTTGTTTTTATGTTCTGAGAAGTATTTTTTGAGTGTCCAATTGCCTTCTATTTAATTTAACTGATGTTTAAGTTGTCAATGCATAGTCAATTCATTTCACCTTTCAGTATGTTGAGAATGGGATTGGTTCACATGCTCTGTCCTAGGTGCCTAAAGGATGTTATTGGTTTCTGGAGGGGAATTTCCTACCTTTCTGGCAGGCAATTTAGTGTTCTGTATAGTAAACCACAAGCAATGAGCCAAGGTGGTGCAGTGGTTACAGTGCAGTACTGCAAGCTAGTTCAGCTGACTATTAGCTGCAGTTTGGCAGTTCAAATCCCACCAGGCCCAAGGTTGACTCAGCCTTCCATCCTTCCAAGGTGGGTAAAATGAGGACCCAGATTGCTGGGGGCAATATGCTGACTCTGTAAACCACTTAGAGAGGGCTGTAAAAGCACCATGAAGCAGTATATAAATCTAAGTGATATTGCTATTGCTAATGAGAGGCTAGCCTGCCATTAGAACAAGATGCCTCTCTGGCATCCCAGTTGATATCAATATTTATTGAAGGGAATTGTTATAAAAATTAAAGGAAAATAAAGTGTCAGAAATGACAAGTGGAAAGTGAGTACAAATTAGCAATGTCTTTCTTTACGTTATTTATGAGGTGTTTGTAGGTAGGTAGGTAGGTAGGTAGGTAGGTAGGTAGGTAGGTAGGTAGGTACAGAGACAGAGAGTTATGAGATTATGGCAAACTATAAATTAAATAATAGGTATTGGCTACCTTTCCACTTTAATCATTATAGTATTTTAATTTTAACATTTAAAAAAAGAATACCTGTATTTTCTGTTGCTTCTGTGTGGTTCCCTGGGTTTTCTACATGCTCTGGTGCAGATTTGTTTCCATCCCCTTCAGTTCCTATAATGAACTCTGGTTTGGAATCAAAAAGACTGTCCTCTAAGTTATCTGTCGGTTCCTTCAAAACGTAAGATCAAATACAAATAATGTTCAATATCCACATGTATGTATTTCAGGGCAAACATCCTCTCAAGCACCAAGGAAGTCTGAAGATTCAGGCAGTTCAAATGAATATAAAGATTTATTGCAAGTTTAAACTCTACAATAATCTGGGTTAATCTGAATCTAATGGTCAAGGGAAATTTGCAGAAGTTAAGAAGAGAAAGGAATTCAAGGTGGACTGAATTTAGATCTCTTGTGGGCATGGATGAACTCATGACTGACTGACTCCTCCCTCAGACTCAACTTGGCCATCTCTTACACATACTTTACAAAGAGGACTAATCAACAGATACTAAGACCTTTCAATTTTATCTTGTGTTTCTTTACATAATTGTAATAACCATCAACCAGAGAAGCAAGCCCTACAAGAATTATGTCTCACCCTTCACAAAGTTGACATTTATAAATTGCTGAGGTCAGAGTAGAAGAGGCAACCATGTTTTAAACAATTGGCAATAATTGTGTAAAATTTGTTTACCATATTTCAACATCATTATATGGTGTTCCAGTTTCATTTAGTTTTATTGCTGTTTTTAATCTTTGAACAAAAATAAGATCCTTGCCTTTATAGGTAGTCCTTGACATATGACCATAACTAAACTCAGGATTTTGGTCATAAGTCATTGTGGACATAAATCAAGCCACCACATATGCGGACTTGATTTTTATGGGCATTTTTATTGTGGTTGTTAAGTGAATCACATGGTCAATAAGTGAATCACATTGGCATAAGTCCAAATCCAGCTTATCCAACAGGCATTTCTTTGCTGGAAAAGAAGTGGTGAAATTCAGTCATGTGATTGTGGGATGCTGCAACTAAGTCATAAATGTGAGCCTGTTGTCAAGTGCCTGAAATGTGATCTTGTGACCACGGGGGTGATGCAGAAGATATAACTTCAAGGACAGGTTGTAAGTATGTTTTTTGAGTCTACTGTAACTTTAAAAAGTTATTAAACAAATAGATGTAAATTGAGGACTACCTATACTAAAGTGAAAAATGATGACTCTCCAGATCAGTGGTGGGTTCCAGATCCCGTTGCAACCGGTACAGTGCAACAGGGCCAGGCATCCACCACATGCATGTGTGCAGCATATGCGCAGCACACGCGCATGCATAGTCACCACCTACGACACTTCAGCTGCTTGACGGAGCATCGTGAAGGCACAGTACACTCCGTGCATGTAAGCCCTAATCAGCTCAAATACAGGTAAGGAGGACGGGCGGACAGGCGGGCTCTCCGAAGCACCGTACCAGAATGATACCAGGTGCTCTCAGCAGGCACCAGTATGCCCATACTGGGGCGTACCAGTCATATCCCACCACTGCTCCAGATGTTCCTGAACTACATCTCCCAGGAACCTTACCAATCTAAGTGATAGTAATTAAATTTAGGAACTGTAGCAACATCTGAACAGTGATTGTAACACCCTTTTCTAGTTATTGTTGAATGGGGCCTTGGGAACTTGAAAGTTCATACATCCCTGGGTTTCTATATAGATATTTGCACAAATCAAATGGCATATTATATATTCAACATGTGGAACACAGAAGGCAGAATATCACAGTCAAGATCTAGTTATATAAAATACAATAGGATTTTTTTTCCTGGACACTTTTTCAAATCCTTTCTTTAATTTGCTTACCACCAGTCTGATTTCTTCTTTGGGGGCTAATCTTTCCAAGAGTTCACAGGCCATCTGATAGCACAAGATACTAGACTGGCACAAGTTACATTCTACTGCCTTCTCATCTTTTTGACAAATATGGGAACCACCCCAGGGGGCCTGGAATACATTATTGATGATAGAAATTATGTCTTTGGAAATGCTGTTCTCCAAGCCCAAGGTAATACCATCATCTTGTAGTTCCATCTGAAAAACACATTTTAGGAGGAATCATTTACAAAGTAATTGATATACAAACATTGGAAAAAAGGAGAGTGCCCTCTTAAAGATGCTTTTAATGTATTATTGAAATTATATCCTAACTTTTTTTTTCTGGGAGCTCAATAAAGCATACATAATACATTTCCCTCCAGTTTCACTCCACGAAAATTTTGTGTACTGGATTACATAAAGAGAGATCATATTAGCCACACACAAAAACCCCACTGAATCATCTTCCATGGCTCTGTGTGTATTTAAATTTATGTAAAGTCACCATAGCCCTCCCTAGTCCAAGTAACTAAATTAGTCTACTAAATAATATACAATAGCACCCCGGCTCTTAAAAGCTCCATGTATTTGAATAGCTGAAAAGCACAGAAAACTTTGAAATTTTCTCTTTGAAAATTCATTTTAGTTGAATTTCTTCCTGTCAAACTACTATTCACACAACAGCTGCTTATGGGGCACTAAAGGTTGCAATCCCATATTATGTTCTGCAGATAGATTTCACTCACAGTCTAACTTCTCTTACTTCCCCTGGGCATAGAACCCTCAAAGAAGATCTCAAGTGGTGACTGGGTCAGATGGGCAGTGTTATATTTGGTAAGGTAGTTATAATCCAGTGCCATACCTTACAAGGCTTTATAGGTTAAAAATAGTGCTTCCAATTGAGCTGATAAACCTCTTAGTAGCCAATGCAGTGACTGTTAGATGGACATAACAATGGGTTTTCCCAGTTAGGAATGTGATTTCTGTATTCTGTATTCTAACTATATCTTGGAAATCATTTTCAAAGGCAGCCCCATTGCATCGAGCCCCTTTATGAGGGAGATGGGTGTTTAAGAAAGTTGACAAATAAATAGTCCAGTAGTGTGGTGATTTCAGTGTGGTTATGGGCCATCAATCCTTACTATTATATTTATGTCTTGTCTTTATATCTTGTCTTTCTTTTGTGAATTTGCAATAGTGCACATGGGAAAATCTGCCTGATTTTTATCCTCATAACAACCTGGTGAGACAGATTGTGCTAAGACATAATAGTTGTTTCAAAAATCACTCAGTTCCATTGTTGAATGAAAATTTGAACATTAGGCTTCCTAGGCCCAATCCATCTCAATCCTTATCATTAATTAGATTTATTATAGCCACCCACTACAAAAGACTCTAGGTAAATCACACTGTCTCTTATTGTTCCAGTTCTTCTTGTTCTAGTTATCTGAATAAATTAATCAGACATCCATCTAGCTGACATGAATTCAGATTAAAAAGATTATATATGTAATACTGCTTGGCATACAAATGCAGCACAGTTTCCATGTTATTCATCTCTAAAAATGGCATATATGTTCAGAAAAAATCATAATATGCAACATGCAGATGAGAATCATAAAACTGACTATTTCTCCATATTAGAAATGAAGCCTATATGAAACATTGTGATTCAATTCAAGGTATGATTCTATTTGAGCTGCAGTTTGAGATTCAATTTTAAGCTGATTAAACTACTTTGACATTTTTGTTTCAATCTTTTTATAGGATTCATTATAACAGGAAAACATCAAAATAGTTGAAGCTGCTTTGATAAACTGGAAAGAAAATGAAAATGGTAAGAATGGTAGAATTCTCAGTAATTGGCAGCACTTAGCACTAATCTTTGACTGGATCTGAATGCCAAATAGAGCCAGGTTTTATTGATATATAGGGAGGGTTTTCCAGGGCTGCAAACTAGAAAAAATATCCCATTTCTATATTGTTCCATAGAAAACTACATGGTTGTGTTTGCTAAGTTATCAGGTGGTGGATTTTTTTTTTTTTTTGCAGAGATGAGGAAAAGACAGGACAGCAGACACTACATTATACAGGAAAAAACTCAAATGATCTGGTCAAATGAGTGGAGAAAATGTCACAATATCACAATTCAAACCAACAATAGTTGTTGGTTTAAGTAAGCTGTTGCTAAGTGAAAAAAATCATGTGACTGTTGCTAAGTGAAAAAAATCATGTGACTGTAACTATGATTTTACTTCAGCATTGCTTTGCTTTGCTTTACAACATCAGGCTACCACTCCAAAAATCTGGGTGAGGTCAAATGGCAGGGTTTCTGAAACTCATCTCATGAGGAAGCTGCCCCCCTTACCTTTGGGATGCTCACCTGCTACTGGGGTAATTAGCAAGAAGAAAATATTAGTATTCACGTGCATTGAAGAGGCAGGGATAAAAAGAGAGTAAGCAGGCACACAATAGGGACTACACTTCAAAAGGAATGCATGGGTGCCAGCTGTTTGCCTTTAATGTAAAACTGATTAGTCAGTTTCAGGCAGCAGCTGCCAGCCAACTGGGTTCTAATCAACTAATTAAGAATACAGAGCTGAGTTGGTTAACTTGCCCTTAGCACTTTTTAGGGAGTGAGAGAAAAGCAGCTGAGGAAGAAACAATCTTATTTAGACAATCTCTCCACTCTGGGGTGGTAATGGGTCAAGCCAGGACAAGGTGTACTAATTAACTGTAATGATAAATGCAGGACAGAGAGAAAGAGATGCTATAAAGATAATAAATACATGATTGGTTGAAAAGTTACTTTTTCATCACTATTGTAAACATGAACAGTTGCTGTCTAATGCAGTTGAGAAACAAGAATTATTTGTATCCCAGTTTTAGAAAAACTATAAACTATTAGAGTTCCTGTTTGTCCACTTCCTTTTCTTAACATTAATGTCCACCGGTTTCCCCTTATTTAAGAGCCTCTCCTTTAGCAGAGTTACAATAAAGTTATACTATTTGGCTAGCAAGTTTCATTTCTCCTGAGAAGGCTCACCCCCAACTTTGGTTTCCTTTCTTTCAGGCTGGGCAGGCAAGGCCTCTTCCGGATAGAATTTAATTGTATCAGGGTTGTGCCTTACTTGCAACACTCTAAGTTAGTTAGCAGAGCAGGAAATCCAGACTAGAACTACCAGAGATACACAGACCATACAAAAGAAAATAAAGATGGAGATGATTAGCCACATGATTTGATTTGTTGTGTAACAGTAGATCTGCTTCAGTTTGCAAATCTGTTTTGACCTGGGTAATTCAACTGAAGCTTCATTAACAAGAAGTACTGTATGTCTTTGAAGTAATCCACAGTCCTTCTAAAAGATGCATGAAGAAAGGTATGGGAAGTTTTGACAGGGAAAAAGTCAATTGAGCCATTGATTATTTATATCCTGAATGCTGCATCTCCAAAGGATTAACAGTTTTTTATTTAATTTTGAGTTGAATATAGGATTCAACTCAACAAAGTTGCCTCAAACTGTGATGTGAATGTCATATAAATTTAATAAATAAGTAAACTAAATATAGATCTTTGACCCATATTCAAATTTCCAACAGTATGTTGTGTGAAATCAGTAATTTTCAATAAATATTTATCAATTATACTACATATCCCTCCAACATTAGATCAGAGGTCTTTAATGATCCTTCTCTAGCTCTCTAAAGTCCCTCCACCTAGCCACCAAATTAAATACTCACGGAATCTCATGAATATGTGATATTTTGATTTGTTAAAATATCTGGGCTATTGCACTATGATGCCTATCAGCTGGAAAAGGTATGGTTTTAGTTTTTTGGGTTTACCAAAAGGCCAAGAGAACTCACTCAGGCATAGTGAACTCTTGATCCCAAAAAAGTTTGTATACCATGGAATGTTTCTAGATGCATATAAATCTCTGGCTTGCAAATTGGCTCCTGTATAAAATATTAAAATATTCTTTAAAATGTTCCAAAACAAGATGTGGTTATATTAGGATTGTATTAATTGACCATGTTTACAATACCAGGATGTGTATTATTACCTGCTTCAAGATGAGATCAAACATTAGAATGAAACAACTCAAATTCATTTCATCATCATAACAGTCAAAGTCAATGGCCCTTCCTCCTCCAGAGGATCCAAAATTTTTGAAAGGACTGCGGAAAGGGCTGTGTATGGGGCTGCGAAATGGACTCTGAAACGGACTTGGGAATGGACTCAGTGTATTATGCTGAACTCTGCGTCCTGGATCGGAAGCAATGCTCACCTAGAGGAATCCAAATAACATACAAAGACAGAATTCCAGGTGAGCTCCTATGTTTAATTTAAGAAAATACATTCATTTCATGATAGAAAGTTGCAGAAAACACATTTTCCCCAGCGTGAAGATACAGTGTTACCTGCTGTTAATAAAACAGTCGTAAAAGCAGAAAAGCATGATTTAATAATCATTTGGTCATGGTATTCCAAAATATTTTTCAGGTATCCCATTTAGCTGTTTTATGTGCCACTGAATTATTCCATTCATGACTGATGGAATAGTTAAATGGCACAAATTAGGTACACCTTAAGTCTTAACTAAAATGATGTGACTAACAGCCAAACTCCATTTGACATATCTAAAGGAACAACTTTTCTCGTGTATTTCTCTCTGAGATCTAAGAGATACCTGGTACTCTTCCATGAGAATGTATAGTGATGAAGCATCTGCCCCAGGCAGTTCTATATTGTCTTTTTGGTGCAAGGCAAAAACAATTTATTCGATTAAGAATTTTACTGTTAAATTTTACTTTGTTCTAATGCAGGGAGTCCAACCTTGGCAACTTTAAGACCTATGGGTTCAACTCCCAGAATTTCCCGTATTAATCATTCTTTTTAATTGGAGTGACCACATTTGCACCATAAAAATCCAGACAATCATAAGATGGTAACAAAGAAATGGATAAAACTTCTTTTTTACCATCTAGCAGTCTAGAGATTTTTGTAGCTCTAATATTTGAATCATTTGAATCAACCTGATTTCTGCTATTCAGTTGCTGGTTTAATTGTTTTAATTGCTTGTTTAGCTTACTGAGTTAAATAGTTCACCTTTTTGCTACAAACATTTTATATAGGTTTAAAATATACAAGGACACCTCTATTTGTAAGGTTAGCATACACAGTTTAAACATGTTTAAACAAGCAGGAAGTGTTTTCTAAAAAGCTACTGGTAAGTCTAGTTCCTGCCAGGGGGATATAGTTCAATATATATTTTATATTTATATTTTACAACCCTCCAACTGAAGTTATGCTGAAATGCTCAGAATCCTTTATAGTTGACCATAACTAAGATTGATGGAGCAGCAATCCTTTTTCATACCCGAACTTTTCAACACCTGCAGGTGTCCCATCGGTTTCATGCTTCCACATAAGCTACGTGCAATATTTGCAGAATTCATATACCCTCTATTGGATTTCCTCCCTATACATATAATATGAATAAGGAATGGTGTGATCTAGATTGGGGTCTGCAACAGATAGCAAATGAGTAAGCTTTCACTCCTAATAATGTCCTGATCCAGGTCAAAGACCTAAATTTGCTATTTAGTGGGTTTTACACACACACACACAAATCTATGTAACTGCCATTTCTACAAAAAAAAGCTTCCTGCCTACTTTGAACCTGACTCTAAGTGCATCTACTTACAATGAATAAATTTGCAATCTTCAACAGAGCGTCCTGTTAAGTAACCGACGTCAGTCTTATGCTTAAATGGATACTCAACCCCGCTCATTTCAAAGGTCTTTAGTTTAATCACACTTCATTTTCACTGATTGCACCTACTGACTAGTCAAAAAATACATGCAAAATGTGTCTCCTGTTATAAAAGAAATTGATAATGAATTACCCTTCGAGCTGCAAGGTTCCCAGTTATCTCACTGACTCTCGATTTTCTTTGATTTGCCAGTTCTTTCACAGAATTAACACCATCAGAAAACATACTGATTACCAACTGAAGTGGAACTACAATGTCTAATTCAGATAACACCTGAAAAAGAAAGAAGACAGTGTTCTCAGGTTCAACTAAAAACTGAAGTGCTAGTGCATATTTTAGAAACTAGGTCAAAATGAAAAATGAACTTAAAACCTGCATTTAATTTAGTCCCTATATAAATTAAGATCTAGAGAATGGGGGTTGAAACTGTAGTTGTAGGATTTATGGACTGCAATCTGTGTGATGATCAATTGAAATGTGTATAAATGAAACAAAATGTTAAAAAGTTATGATATTTATGTAGTTACTTACCTGGATGCCACAACTTTTGAGCACCCCTAATATTTGGAAATTGAAAGTTGAAAAATTCGACATGCCCTAGTTGGTGTATACATGACACTAATGATGTTTGCATGAGGAGGTTGATCTAGGCTTAATATATTATATTAATTGTGAAACTATGATTTGGGGTTTAGCAAATCATGCAAACCCAATTTTATTATTTGTTCAACAAATCAAATAATGGTTTAATATATGTGAACCCAGCTTCTGCTTTTAGGTTGGTGTCCTCAAAGAGACTCTTAATGCAAGTCACCTAAAATTGTTACTGAAGTCTTAATTTCTTAAATACACATCTTTCTGTCATGACAAAACTTATGCATAGAATGACAACATTGCTTTCTAACCAGACACAACCAAATGCTGATCTGCTTAGCCTCAGTAATAATATGCCTCTATATGATTTATTGAGAGTGTATTAACTTCATAACAGGTGGCAAGGAAAAGGAAGTAAAGAGTACAGACTCTGTAAGCTATTTTATGAGTTGAACACTGAAAGCGTCTCACAGATCACAAATCTTGATCATAGGTAGCTTCAAGACAATAACAATAGAAGCCATCTAATGTTTGCTTGGGATAGTGAGCCAAAATAATAATAAATGATTAGTAGGATTAGTAGATATTAAACTTTTGTTGATGCACACAGTCAATACTATCTGGGAACTATGTCCTATCAATACACTGGAGTGTGCTTCCATAGAATGATTTGATCAGAGATATATCAGCACTCACATGAAGCCAGAGTAGAGCTTGTTCTTGTACAGAGGATGGATATCCTGTGAATCGACAGCTTATGAAGCCAAACATTTCCTCCATAGAAAAAGGGAGAGGGCATAGCTCTATATCAAACATTTTACTGCAATACACAAAGACAAAAAATTGAATAGCAAGTTCTTTTAAAACGGCTGCCCAAAAGAGCAAAGGCTGTCCACAAAATTTAAAAACAACACTCAAACAATTCTAATTACTACTGTGTTTTCCCAAAAATAAGACAGGGTCTTATTGAGCAGGCGCCCGAAGAGCCAGGCACAGCCTCAGGGGCAAACAGCTGTATTGCGCAATACACCACCCATGAGGTGACCATGTTCATAAGCAGCCACCCAGCAACCCCACTTTACAGCCAGGCAAAGCACCACTCACTGACCCAGTGATATCCCAAAGGCGCTAAGCTGCGTGGTGGTCTGCCCTCCCCCCAGCTCCTCCGGCTTGGTGCATTCGGGATACTCTTAGGTCAGTGCATGGCGCTCTGCCTGGCTGGAAAGGGAGGTTGCACAGGCGTCTGTTCCATCCCCAGCTGGTGTGCCTCCCAACCTCACCATGCCTGGTCCAGATCTCCCTGCAGGGCCATGGTGCCACTGCAGTGGCAGCACTCCGAGAATAACCTATACTCCGGCTTCCAAACTCGAGATCCGCAGCTGAGTCATTTGGCAGCGGCTGCTCTGGGGGTACGCTCTATGGTTGTGGGCTGGCTGCTGGCAAAGGATACTCCCAGAGTGTACAATCATAGAGCATATTCCCAGAGTGGCAACTTCCGGAAGACTCGGCATCCTACCTCTGTGCTTTGGAAGCTGCAGGAAAAGCCATGCGGCAGCATTGGGCAGCAGCAGCAGCGGCGATGCCCTGGGTCTGCAGGAAGTTAGGCAAGGGCATCATGAGGCCTGGGAGCGGAAAAGCCGCTCATGCAACCCCCCTCTCCAGCCATGCAGAGCCCCATTTATTGACCTAGGGGCATTCTGAAGGCACCAAGCTGCAGGAATTGGAGGGCAGTGAACAGGCATTCATGCAGCTTGGTGATACCCTAGATCAGTGAATGGTGCTGTGCCCAGGTGGAAAGGGGGGTTGCCAAGAGACTGCTCATGAGCATGGTCACCTCATGGCTACTGTGTAGTGCTGCTGTGACAGCGCAACACAGCCATTCGACTGATTTGGGAACTCGCTTGCAAGAGAGCAACTGCCAGGCAACCCCGCTCTCCAGCTGGGCACAGCACCACTCACTGACCTAGCGGTATCCCAAAGGCACCAAGTAACCCGAGCCTTTGCCAATCCCACCCTGTTCCTGCGGCTTGGCGCCTTCGGGATACCGCTAGGTCGGTGAGTGGCACTCTGCTTGGCTGGAGAGGGGTGTCTAGGGGGCTTATTTTCAGGGAAGGGCTTACATTTTTGCCCATCCGAAAAATGTGGCAGGGCCTTATTATCAGGACATGTCATATTTTCAGGGAAACATGGTAATTAGTGTATTATTTGAAACCAGCTGTTTGTAAAACATTTCAAATTTCAAATGTTTTGAATCTGAAGGACCCTGCTCTGATTCAGGAAAGATAGTCTAAAAATTCTAGAAGTCTGAGATCAAAGCAACCCCATTTCAAGCCCCAAACTTTGGTTTCAAATAACACACTATAATTTTTATTTATTTATTTTTAAACACAGTATATTTTTTATTTATTTTTAAACATTGTGCACATTTGGAAACTTTGGAACTTTATAAAATAAACTCTGCATTTAAGGCTGAAATTCTGTAATACATTATATAAAGTAAACAAATGTCTTATATTCCATTCATACCATGTCATACATAGCTATACTGCTTATTTTAGGCAGGCTTTTGGCTTAAGTGAGATTTTGCTTCATCAGACATCTGATCAGGAAAATATTATATTTATGTAAAGGTTCTACGTCATATAGCAGTAGTTTTTACTGGAGTAAATTCCAAATTAGACTAGGCCAATTGGTGGTCATAAAAAGAGCAAATATTCCTATGGAATGTTGAAAAGAAATAAGATTATGAGAAGCATAAAGTGGACAACGAAAAAGTTTGACATATATGAAAGTATGAAGAATGCCTTCGAATCTCAATTTTTGATTCTCTTTTAATCCAAACTTTGATCAGTGCACATAATAGATAATTACAGCATTTCTGTTCATGACTTCCCATCTTTGCTCAAATATCTCTAGTGGGAAAGGACGTCAGTCCTATAAGCTACAATAGTGTATATTCCTGATCATTAGGAAGTTTAACAGTTTTCTAATTCACTCTTTAGAAAGTAATGTAATTATATAATTTACGGATGCTTTTATTTTTGTATTACATGTATAAACCATTCTGAACTGATAATAAAATTGGAAGGAATTCAAATTCAACTGAAGTAAATATATGTCAGCATCTCTCTCTATAATCACAATCAAAGTGTGATACATCGATTGCTGCAAGTTTTTGGCTGTCCACCTTTCTTAAAAAATGCAAATTAACAATACCACAGAAAATTATGATTGTAGGTTGCTCTTCTGCAACTTGGAATTTTATTGATATATCAATATCAACAACTAATGTTCAACCTGTAAGTTCCTAAATAACATTCATGGGCCTCCAAGACCTGAATCATTGTAATCAAACCATTGCCTAAGGAGGCATCTCAAGAGGTTTAGAATTTGAAAGTGCTTTCTTGCAATTCAAACTTTGGGTCCAATCCATCTGATACTTTTGGGAAAAGCAACTGCATTTTCTCCAAGGGCTTGAAATTTCATATATGTTACAGGACATATTTCATGTCTGACATTCCATTTATAAAGTTGCAGTTTTTATATGTAAGGCTTGGATTACTGTCTGAAAGATGACTAATATATAAGCTTCAAGTCCTCCAACAAGAATTAAAAAGACTGCATATTGTTCCACTTACCTTAATACTTCCCTGAATTCCTTCAGTTGATTGTCTGGCACTTCAGTCCTGATGGCTTCCAGCCATTCTGGCATAATACAGTCCCACACAGGTTGATTGATTACATTGTATGGAATTAAGCAGAGGATCCGGTTCAGACCTTCCTTTAATTGTGTCACAGTGCTACATGATTTATCCCAATATCCACCTACCTGAGGACATTGCCAAGGGGGGGGAAAGGTGTATTAAATGTCATATAGTAAGTTATATAGTACTGAAGGCAAAAAGCACTACATTTTCCTTTTGTGTACAACAGGCACTCAAAATATTAAACCCTGTAATTTAAGCCTGCTAGGAATGTCCATTACTTATGGATCTAAATATGTTTCTCTGTGACACTGCTATAAATCAAGAACTATAATTCTTACCCTTGCAAACTCCATTGGTTTAGGAAGAAGGCACATCACCATGACATCAAATCTAACATCGCACACCGTTTTCAGCCATTTAGTGACAAATTGGGGTTTGAGTTTCTCCACTAGGCTGCCAACTTCATCATCCATCATATATGCCGTGGAGTGGAACCACTGGAAAACCATGCTGACAAGCCTAGCCAAACTCTCTGTTGGAGTGTTCTCGCTAGGGGTGCAGAGGCTAACCTGCAAACAAAGTGTTCTCAATTTTTCTCTTTATCTTTTGCAAATTTGGGAAAGACAAGAAACAAGTGTGATTTCAGGTAGTTTAGCAATAGCAATAGCAGTAGACTTATATACCGCTTCAGTTTGACTAACAAAGGCACAAAAACCCAGGGGGACAGACTATTCTACTACTATCAAGCTCAGCCAAAAACATTGGGAAAGCAATAAACATAAATAATGAAATAGTTTGCAACTGCTAGTGTGTATTTGTTCTAATTGGCACTTCTCTATTAAAAATGAAAGCTAAGGTTCAAAATGAGATTCAGATTCCGTTTCTAACAGATCCTGGCGCAATATTCCAAAGTGATCAACTGCAGACAAAGTTATCTTATTTCCATCTACATTCAGCACAGATTATAATCCTTTTGATCATCTCTTACTTGTTCTTTGGTTTAATACCATCTCCTTTAAGGAGCCATTTAAGAGTTCTTTATCCTGATTATTAAGGAACATGTCTGATAAAAAGGCATGCTTCTCACATTCCTACTTCAGCTAAGCACACTACATATTCAGGAATCAATCTAAGCATCACTTGCCATTGTTAAGATATTGCCATTGATGCTATCTTGAAGGACTTTTGATTAACTAAGTATTGGGGGGGGGAAGTGACAGAAAAGCTTTTGAGTCCTCCAGAAATGTTCTTTAGTTGGGGTATTATAAAAAGAGAATTCAAAGATGAGAAGACTGAACTAAACTTGTAAGTATAAGAGACTATATTGACCCATATTTTCACCCAATACATAAAACCAAAATAAGAAGCACTGCACTGAGAAAGAGTCTAAACCCGTAACAATAACTAAGGAGGGGAGGAACTGCATTCACAGAACACTACAAAGCTAGTCATATTTGTTTGCTTTTAGTTTATATGGACGGAATTCCTCACATGTAAGTGCTTGGGGGTGGTTTACTCATTTGTAATCCCCCTAGAGTCATCATTCCCCAAATTATTTACATTTTATTCTAGTCTATAATCCTATAGCCTGTCAAAGCTGTTTATAAAGAGACCTTCTCCAGATATTATGCTTTCAAACCAAATTGGAAGAAGAACAATATTCTGTCATCCCCTCATATTAGGAAAACAAACATCAGAAGCCATGGACTTTCTGTATTCACTGAGATTTAGAATCCTAGTCTCAATTCTACAGATGTGTTGCCCTTCAACTCACATAATCTCCAGACAGTAATAGATATTGAGAAGACTGGCTATGGATGATGGGGTTAAAGTCCAGGGTAACTGGAAGGTACCATATTTGGAAAGTCTGTTTTAATCTCTGTGATGCCTCTAATAATTCCCCCAAAATTTGAATCTTAAGGAAGAGAGGAAAGAACACCTACCAGGAACCAGATTCCAAATTGGCTCAGAAGCCGCTGATCATGCTTGTCATCATCTTTGTTATCAAAATCTGTGTTGTCCAAAGAATGATGAGAGGAAGACAGGCCCAGCTGCCTCCTGCGATTGAGTTCATACTCTCTTTGTTCAGCATGGAATTCAGCCTCTTTCAGAAGGCTAAAAGATGAAGAACACCTATGATTAACTCCAAAACCTGTACATGAGTTCACCGTACTAACGTTTCAATGTCAGGCAGTGTGGCTTCTTGGACTGGAACCATGGATGAATCTGATTGGGCATTGTGGGTTTAATCTTGATGATACCAATTGGGAAAGACTGCAATAATGGGACAGAGGATGGAGGGCAGAAAGAAACATTTGGCTATATTAATTAAGCTGGTGAAAGTTACCTAATGACAGCTTCCACCGTACAGACTAATTCCTCAGCACCACATTCACGGGTATTGATAGGCGGTGGTGATGTCTGATAAAGGTGGGTCTCTGCTGTTGCCCCGACTTCACTGCTGTGATGATTTGAGTGGCATCTTTTGCAGTAACGCACTGGCCTGTTACCATGGCGACCACAGCATCCAGCAGAGAAACATGTCACAACAGCCCTCCTAACATGTGAGCTGCAATTCTGCAAAAAAACAAAAACAAAATAAATATGATATAGAAGAAAAACTCAACTAGCTGACAGTCATAGAAATTTACATTTAAAATACTACCTTGGATTGGGTTGAAAAGCTGAGATACTTAAGAGGGTGGGGAAATGCAGAGTTCAGATGTGAGCTACAGGTAATCCTTGACATATGACCACAATATAGCCCCAAATTTCCATTGCTAAGCAAGATAGTTGTTCAGTGAGCTTTGCCTCATTTTACAATTTTTCTTACCACAGTTGTTAAGTGAATCACTGCAGATGTTAAGTAGTCACATGGTTGTTAAGTTAGTCTGGCTTCCCCATTGACTTTGCTTGTCAGAAGGTCGCAAAAGGTGAACACATGCTCCTGGGACACTACAACTATCATAAATACATGCCAGTTGCCAACTGTCCAAATTGGGATAACAGGACCACCGGGATACTATAATGGTCATGTGAAAAACAGTCACTTTTTTTTAGTGCTGTTGTAACTTCGAATAGTTTCTAAATAAATGGTTATAGGTTGAGGACTACCTGTACTAGATTCTAAACTGTTACCCTATTCAACAATGGAAAACCAAGCTCCCAGTACCAGTATTTAGTCCTCTATACTGTTCCAGATTAAGCCTATAAATAATGGCTTGGTTCACCTCAAACAGGGTACCTGTGTGACCTTGAAACTTTGTCTGGCAATTCCTGTGGAACTACTGCAGGCTTTGTGCAGCTGACTGTAGAAAACTGGTCAAAAGCTCCAAATAAAGTTTCTGAGGACATGCAGACATTTTTAGCTTCTGAAATCATTCAGACTAAAGATAATGGTCATTTTCCTGTTAGATATTTGGTGGCTGTACTGTTTTGTGAAGAAATTTTGAACAGGTGCTTTACCTGTGCCTTTGTTCAAGACCCACATTCTGAAGGTACGCACAATACTATTCTTACATTAACCTCCACCCATAATAGTATAAGATAAATATACTGTGGAGAGATTATGTTTTGCAGTAAATCATCAATCACTCACAACTATTGAAGAATTTTTGCGAGACAGAGGAAGACCATGATATTTGGATATTCAGTTCTTGGTATATAATTTTACTACCATTAAAAAAAATTAGTTAGGGGTGTCATGGCAGTGTCATGTGACATATTGGGACTTTTTCCTCCTTCGCTAAACTGGGCATGAGCATGGCTAGCACGTGACACATCTGGCCAATGTGCTGGGATTTGACAGCCTTGATCCAGATCTTTAAAAAAAAACCTTCTCATCTTTGCACAATGTGACAAAAGACAAAAAAAGAAAAATGAAGCAAGATGGAAGTTATTTTATCTTGATGAATCTTGATGCTACAAGATTCTACTCTTTCTTTGCAATTGTGAAATTCTCTTGCTATTGCTTTGCCCATCACCAGGATCTCTACCTTACTCATAGAGGACAATCACAATATTTCAGACTGAAGAAATAATCTTCTTTCGGGGAAACTTCCACCTAGAAGTGAAATAACATAGCATTCTTCCTTTCAGAAGATATCTTTGTTTTGCTCCCCTAAACTACCTTTGCCATCTCTATGCACTTCAACAGGCTTCCTGGTTTTGCAATTTTATATGAAGCATGTTCGTACTTAACCAGACAATGTAGCAATACAATACAATACAATACAATACAATACAATACAATAGCAGAGTTGGAAGGGACCTTGGAGGTCTTCTAGTCCAACCCCCTGCCTAGGCAGGAAACCTTATACCTTTCCAGACAAATGACTATCTAACATCTTCTTAAAGACTTCCAGTGTTGGGGCATTCACAACTTCTGGAGGCAAGCTGTTCCACTGATTAATTGTTCTAACTGTCAGGAAATTTCTCCTCAGTTCTAAGTTGCTTCTCTCCTTGATTAGTTTCCACCCATTGCTTCTTGTTCTACCCTCAGGTGCCTTGGAGAATAGTTTGACTCCCTCTTCTTTGTAGCAACCCTGAGATATTGGAACACTGCTATCATGTCTCCCCTAGTCCTTCTTTTCATTAAACTAGACATACCCAGTTCCTGCAACCGTTCTTCATATGTTTTAGTCTCCAGTCCCCTAATCATCTTGGTTGCTCTTCTCTGCACTTTTCCAGAGTCTCATCTTTTTTACAGTGTGGCAACCAAAACTGAATGCAATATTCCAAGTGTGGTCTTACTAGGGCATTATAAAGTGGTATTAACACTTCACATAATCTTGATTCTATCCCTGTGTTTATGTAGCCTAGAACTGGATACAATAGTACAATAGCTAGCTAGTACAATAGCTCTTAGAATTGTAGGCCGAATGTCAACACATAATAATCAGAACAATTTCAAGATATGTCAGCAAGATAAGATGATTTTCACAGTAAGACTTTAATACAGCATGTGATGATGAGATGAAGCCAGAAACCAAACAACAACAACAACAAGCTGAGTTGTATCTCATTAGACATGCACTTCTACCTTACCTTCTTTTGACATATAGCAGAAATTTCAGCTATAAGGGAAGGAAAATTAAAATCAAAAGAGTTATGATCACTTTGCCACCAGGTGTAATATGATAGAGTATCCAGTAAAGCATAGGTCTCTGGCTTCTGGATATTATTGGGTTATTCAGTACCTTATATAGAAGCAGATTAGAAACACATTTACATTAAGCCATTATATGGTATGGATGTATGTAACAGAGAGTGAATCGTTTTCCTTCATGGCTCAAATCTTCCACCTTCTACCATTCAAAACAAGGCAAATCTTGCCCATTTCTCACTTTCCTGGAACTAGTTTGGACTAGCCCACAATATCTTTATTGTTAGAAACCAAAGCAAGATAATTACTCTTCCCATTCTATGCCCAAAAGTCAACTAAACTGGCAGTTAAATCTTCCTTACACAATGCTTCCTAATTTAGAGGTTACAGAACTTGTTAAATGACACCTACAAGTTTGTCTGTCAGCACTGTGATATTATTTCCTAATTTATGCTGCCTGAGATAACCAACACAGTCTAACAGTAGGCCAGGCCTAGGCACAGTATTGGATTCTGACCTGCATAGCAGACATTTTTGCATAAACCCACTCAATTCCTAAGCTTGGAGGCTAAAATATTCATACAAAGAAAATGTGCAATCATGGATTACAAGGGAAAGTTTTAGAAATAGTGAATAACATTGGATTTGGCAGGAGAAGATAATCTACAATTGAGCAAAATACATTTCTGGTGAAAATGTATTCTATTCAGGACATTTCAGAAACTGCCTGGACATTGGCAGTAAGAACACTATTCAAACTTTTCAAAAACGTATTACATAAAACTCCTCTGTTAGTCTTACATATATAATCCTAGATAAAACTATATTAATATATGTATTCTAAAACTAAAAGTGAAAACAAAGATGTTGCCTTTTTATGTATTTATAAACTCAGTGAATAAATTTTTACTCTTAGCATTCTTTTAAAAAATATTGCCTCAATCTAATCCAATTTCAAAAAGAAAAATTACATACCCCTTGAACAATTTGCTTGAACAATTTTAGTATATTGTATGTTTGATTGTTTGTTTGAAATTGATTGATTGAAATTGTTAAAATAATATGCTTGAACAATTTCAGTAAAGGTAGCCCTTGACTTACAAATGATACCAGAATTTCTGTTGCTAAGCAAGCTTGCTGCTAAGTGAATTGTGTCCAATTTTATGACTTTTTTTGCCTCAGTTGTTAAGTGAATCACTGGGAGTGCATCACAGGATTGTTAAGCAAATCCAGCTTCCTCCATTGACTTTGCTTGACAGAAGCCAGCTAGGAAGGTTGCAAATAGTAATCACATGACTCTAGGATGTTGCAACCAGTTGTAAATATGTGCCCATTGCCAAGTGCCTATATTTTCACTGTGTGCTGCAATGGCCATAGGTGCAAGGACCAGTCATAAGTCATTTTTTCAGTGCAATTGTAATTTCAAATGGTTGATAATAAATGGTTATAAATCAAGGGTGACCTGGGCTTGCTATTCCCTTCACAATCCTCCTTAACAAAGGCAGGCAGTTCAGTTTCATTGAAAGTTCAATACCAAAAAAATGCTTATTTCCCTCCTGAATTTAACAGCAAATACCTGATGAACACTGATAAATAGCAGAGATATGAAAAAAAAACTGTTAAGCCCTTTCCATTACTATCTACAGGTATATATAAAGGAGTGTTAAAGCTACCAAATGTGTGACTGTATCATCCTGGACATCCATTTATAAATTGGAAGGTCTGAAGCAAGGATTCCCTTCTTTTTTTTTAATCTTTCAGCAAACACAGGATGTGCAAATGTTGTTTCACTTCTCAACCATTGGAATAATTGTGAGGGATTCTGGGAGTATAGCAACATCTAGAGGGCCACAGGTTGTCCAATCCAACATCATTATGTCTGACTAAAAATCAGATATATTGTGATGGTTCACCATGGCATTAGCCCTAAAACATGGCATTATATCCTACTAAACATCATGAATCCAAATGTAATCATAGTTAAAAGAAAACCACTCAAGATCTATGGATTATATTGAGTCTATTTCAAATCTGATTAAGTTCAGCTTCTATTTATTGAGAGAAAGGGTCTTAGATTTGCAAGAATAACATCACCTCTTAAAGAATAATCCTGAAATAGTAACTAGAAAACTATTTTATTTCAGATTGTATGTCCATTTATCCCAGGTTTGCCTGCACCAAAGATGATGATAAAGCTCTTACATTCTAAGAATGATGAAATTGTTTTCACCATTATTTGATTGTTGAGCTGAAAAAGGAAGAAACTGAACCTGAGATTTTGTACATGCAAAGACCTTCCATCCAACTATGAATGCCCTTTGAATATCCTTATAGCATTTCACAAGTCCATTATTTTATAAATATTACTATTTATAAATCCACAATACCCACAATATCCATACTGTGAATATTACTTTCTCTGGTGTTAAATTCAGTCTTACCTTGTGGTAAAAGAACATCAACCAACCATTCACTGTGATCCCTTAAAAGAAAAAAGAAAAAGAATTAGAATGGACTGTGATGTCATCTATATCCCTTCAATGAAACAGCCACGTTTTCAATATAATGATTATGTATGTGGACTAAGAATTCTCTGAGAAGAATTCCTGCAGGTATTTCTACAAGTTGAAGGGGAAAGATTGGAAGACTTCCACCAATTAGTTCTTCTACTTCTGCTAATCTTACACTTCTGAAAAGCTGTTTTACACGCCTGGGAGAATAAAGAGAGAGAGAAGACTTTATGGGAGACATTGCCTAAAATTAATTCCCCAATTAATGGAACCTCCATTAAACATACATGAAGGGAAAAGCTCCCAGACACCTAATTAAGATCCAAGTTTTATTTTTACTTCTAAAACGGCAGCTGGCAGCTGGACAACTTTAGCCTCTTTGTCATTCATTTATTCCAAGTCTGCCTGCCTTTTTTTTTTATGTTAAAAAGAACACTCTAATTTAGAAGATACCAAAATATACAGAGGGAAAAAATCTATTTGGCAAAAAGATAAAATACTAAAAAAGAGAATAAGTATCTCTAAGTGTCAAATACCTCATCCCTGTATAAAGCTTGGCCTACTTTCCAAATTAATTATTTTTGCTTTAGATTTAAAGCACGGATTATGTCAACACAAAGGAGACATTTATAAAATTAAAACATTTTTTAGTAATCCTTTTCAAGTGGCATCGTTATAATGCTAAAGCAATGATAAAACAGCAGCCCAAAATCATACCTTCTGATCCACATGTCCAGGAATTGGTGGCCACATACTTCCAATTTTGATAACAATTGGATTTTAAAACTTAGCCCAAAAAATAATGTATTTTCTCCACTTAATGAACAACCCTGGGTTAAATTTCATTCTTAATACTGATATTTTAATAAAATAATATGAGTTCCATTCTGAGTATCTAATTAAAACAAATACTGTAACAGTGAGAAGTTGTATTTACTTAAGAAAAAACAAATGAAGGGGGAATACATGGCCTTACATTACAATTTAATGCTATATAAAATGAACAGGATTCATTTTTTTCTTACCAAGATTGAATTCCTTCAGGGAATATAACAGTGCTAAATAAGGGATAAGCTGAAGGCAACAGCAGGAAGGGCCAAACCTTAAAGTACGTAGAAAGGTCACTTCTCCCCTCTCCCTTTCTTCACCCTTTTTGAGTTGTAGACTTCTAATGCCACTTAAAGGTAAAGGTTCCCCTCACACATATATGCTAGTTGTTCTCGACTCTAGGGGGTGGTGCTCATCTCCGTTTCAAAGCCGAAGAGCCAGGGCTGTCCGAAGACATCTCTGAAGTCATGTGACCAGCATGACTAAACTCCGAAGGCGCACAGAACGCTGTTATCTTCCCACAAAAGGTCATTCCTATTTTTCTACTTGTATTTACATGCTTTTGAACTGCTAGGTTGGCAGAAGCTGGGACAAGTAATGGGAGCTCATTCTGTTCCGCAGTGCTAGAGATTTGAACTGCTGAACTGCCAACCTATCTGATTGACAAGCTCAGCATCTTAGCCACTGAGCCACCAGTCCTCTAATGCCACTTAGTCACCAATAAAGCCCATCCAAATGTACTGTTACAACCAGCTGAATGATAGTTGGATGTATTTTCAGAGATGCTATAAACAGTAGTAACTAACTGATGCTTGAACTTAAGTCAAAAACAATATATGACTTTGGTGATATGGGATTCCCATCTCTGCTACAGATCCATGTGACAGCATGGCAGCACTGAAGCAACCACAAATTTGCCAAGGGTCTGGATCACATGAATCCTGGGTCCTGGATTTTGGACACATTCTCAAAGTTAGCCCATGTGAAGTATCTTGGTACAAAATGTGTTGCCAGTGATACACTCTTTCACCCAGTTCAAAGTTAGACATAAGAGTTGTAGTAATATATAGATTTTACTAAAGACTGAGCTCAAAAATAGTCTAGCCAACCATATCATATAGAGGCATCCAGCAGAACATTTTTTTCTTTAAAAACTTGGAAAATCCCAACTCCTTCTATCATACATCTTTACATCCTGTATCTTTGAATCTTAAATCTTTTTGCTTAATTGCAGTCAGGACATGGACACTACTCCCAGCTTTGTTTTATTTATAACATATTTCTTGCAGACTGCATTGTCAAATGGCCTGTGTGACTTAATAAAGCAAATGTAATTTTTTTTATTCAACTTAGAAAATCAAACTGTTGTATTTGCACAGACCTGTAAATTAAATAGTTGTTTTTTCTGCTTGCTTTCTATTTCAGTGTCACTTTAATTAATCAGGCTCCAACTGATTTAAGTTTAACTAAATTAAACTAAAAAGTTTAACACAAGTTTTTAAAAGAAATGTCTCTTAAGTTTATCTCCAGTTCATGTTCTCTCTCGTTCTCTCTCTCTCATTCTCTCTCATTCATTCATTCATTCATTCATTCATTCTCTCTCTCTCTCTCTCTCTCTCTCTCTCTCTCCCTCCCTCCCTCTCCCTCTCCCCCCACCTCTGTGCGTGTGTGTGTTACATCTCTTGATTTACCCACCCTGCAATCCTTTGGCTGCATTCTTCACAAAGGTAGAGAGGAGGTGGTTTATCACCCAAAGCCACTGATAAAGAAGGGTCTACGCACATCTGAAATACACAGGAAGCATGGAATTAGTCTCTCATTCCCCAAAAGCACTCTCCCAGGACAGGTATATTTTGAATGAAAGAAATTAACATTATAAGTCCTGGATTTCCTTTTTACCCTAGTGCTTGAATATGAAGAAAGGAATACTTGTGATGACGGATGATGGCACAAATAGGTTATATTATTTTTTTTGAATGTTTGTTTGATATATTTTGCAGCACTGATTCAGTAAAGAAGATATTAAGAAATAATGTCATAATTTGTAATAAGGTAGTCTGGCACAGTTTGAGATTCAGCAAGCAAACTAATATGCTAATCTGGAGGGGGAAAAGAGCAGACTGTTAGTTAAACTATCAAAAGAGTGGCATATCACGTTATGTCAACATGCTATAATGTAGTCTATTTAACACATTTCATGTGCCTTTGTAAAGGATGGTTCACAGTTTCATTTAATGTCTGTATTCCCAGCCACTTCTGGGTCAATAAAACATAATTAATAAAATAATAGTTAAATGTGATATCTGAAATTTATCATTCCTTACTCTTTATAGTGGTATGTTACTCAAACTAGAATCTATGGGTTGAATTATTCTTCTATTCACAAAATATTTAGCATTAACATATTAGGATTACAAGTGGGAACAACATTTACCATAAGGATTCAGTCTATAAAACTTTGTATAGAGTAAATCTACTCTGATTATCATAAAATCTTATTTTTATCTTTGCATTAAAATTTGGCTCAAAAGTTAAAATATCAGTTCATAAGCATCAGGCATATAACTCTTGTCATCAGCATCACAAGCATTCAGATACTAAAGACCACAAAACATAACTGTAGTAGAGAGAATATGGATTTACTTTACATAACCAGTGCAATTTTGAATAAATTATAGCCATTACTCTATTCAAAATAAAGTGTTGGATTTATTCAGTTTTGGTCACGACAATGTAAAAAAGATGTTGAGACTCTAGAAAGAGTGCAGAGAAGAGCAACAAAGATGATTAGGGGACTAGAGGCTAAAACATATGAAGAACGGTTGCAGGAACTGGGTATGTCCTTCTTTTCATTAAACTAGACCTATCCAATTTCTGCAACCGTTCCTCATATGTTTTAGTCTCCAGTTCCCTAATCATCTTGTTGCTCTTCTCTGCACTCTTTCTAGAATCTTTTCTACATCGTGGCGACCAAACTGAATGCAGTATTCCAAGAATGGCCTTACCAAGGCATTATAAAGTGGTATTAACACTTCACATGATCTTGATTCTATCCCTCTGTTTATGTAGCCTAGAACTGTGTTGGCTTTTTTGGCAGCTGATGCACATTGCTAGCTCATATTTAAATGGTTGTCCAGTAGGCCTCCAAGATCCCTCTCATAGTTACTACTATTGAGGAAGGTACCAACTATACTGTACCTGTGCATTTCATTTTTCTTGCCTAAATGTAGAAACTTACTATTTTCACCATTGAATTTCATTTTATTAGATAGTGCCCAATGTTCAAGTTTGTCCTTCTGTATCTTAAGCCTGTCTTCTGGAGTGTTGGCTATTCCTGCCAGCTTGGTGTCATCAGCAAATTTGATGAGTTCTCCATTTATTCCCTCATCCAAATCATTGATGAATATGTTGAAGAGTACTGGGCCTAAAACAGAGCCTTGGGGTACTCCACTGCATACTTCCCTCCATGGAGATGCAGTTCCATTGAGGACTACACGTCGAGTGCAGTTGGTCAGCCAGTTACGAATCCATCTGGTGGTGATGCTGTCCAACCCACATTCCTCTTCTTTATCTAGTAGTAGGTTATGGTCTACCTTATCAAATGCCTTACTGAAGTCCAAGTAAATTATATCGATAGCATTCCTCTGGTCCACTAATTTTGTCACTTTGTGAAAGAATGAATCTGGCATGATCTGTTTTTGAGAAACCCATGTTGGTTTTTGGCTATTACTTTGTTTACTTCTAGTTGTTTGCTAATTCGTTGCTTGATTATCTTTTCCAGAATCTTTCCTGGTATTGAGGTCAGGCTGATAGGTCTATAGTTTCCTGGATCTATTTTTTTCCTTTTTTGAAAATGGGAACCTTTCCAGCAAAAGTAGTTCAGAACTTTCTTTCTTTGGTCATGCTTTTCTGCATTCTCATAAGACTTCTGTTTCTTATTTGTATGAAAGCAAAGGACACGGGAGCGAGAAATAAGTGTCTTTGTGAGGGAAAATAATACTACTTAGTGCAGAAGTATACTACAAGGTTATTAATTCCAATTGTGATCACTAAAGTTGTGTGATCTAGCAGAACTATTTGTAGAATTTTTAGAAACAACAAATGGACTTGGACTAAAGAATCATTTTCACAATCTCTTTATAGAAAAGAGGGATTTATCAGGAATTTTATATTGGGATTACCATGGTTATATTTGGCAATATCATAGTTTAAATGACCTTCCATTCTGTTTTTATTTACCTTACTATGCCATGAACAGCTGGGATAAGGCTGAAATGGTTACTCACAGGGGATGTTTTAACAGGATACAGAAGTGTTCATTACCTTCACAGCTGGCTTGTTAATTGCATTATGGCATTCAATGTGCTGACAATGAATGGGATTCCATGCTGAAAAATAAAGCCATCATAAATAAATTTCCACAGGTTTACTAAAATACAAGTAAAATTCAGCATTATATGAAACCATCAATATCATCTGAAGGACTTTCAGCTGACAATGTCTCTGTTTCATGCCTCAAATATTTAACCATGGGATGGTAGCCCAAATATAGTGAAGCATAATAAAATATTGTATTGAATTATCAATTAAGGTTCACCATCCAATAATGTCATTTAAAGTATGCCAGTCTGCTTATAACAAAAAAAAAAAAATTCTGAGAATCCAGAGATTAAATTATTGGAGTTGGACATACATATCTATAAAACATTTTCTTAAATGTTAAATGTGAAGTATTGTCTATCATTCTGCATACCTTTCCAAAATCACAGTATAAAGTATTTTTAAGGCCTGGTTCACACATCCATATTAATTACTTCTGCAATCCAATGGATACAGAATTCATCCCACAATTAAAGTAGTCAGAGTAAAAATAAAAATTCATGGTAAATCTATCATCAGAACATCAAGCAACAACTCAGTCTGTTAGTACATAGTTCTACATTTTAAAGCTAGAAAAAAAATTCTAGCTTTAAAATGCAGAACTACTATATGCACTAACAGACTGAAATCAATTATCAGTTCAATCTTTTTCTCATGCAACATTATGTTAAACATTGTATGCTTATAGAAGAACTTACACCCTACTTTTTGACAGCATTTAACTGTTTTTCTAGTTTGCAAACAACTATAATTGCTTTCTGAATTAGGAAGATAGAACATTGTCCCTTTCCCCATTTTCTAATTTCAAAAATTCTAATCCAGAGCTCATTACAGGGTGATGAACATTTTATACAGATGAGTCAATGCTTAAAAAAAACCCCAACTATATCTCAGTGACGTTATTGATAATTTCTTCTGATATATGGTATTAGCATTAATGCATAGTTTGATGATCTCAGTTACCCGTATACTGTAGTCCTCGATATTCACTTATTGCCCCAGGAGGTTTTAAGTTGGGCCAGTAGTGGAAAAGCATTTGGACTGCAGGTGGCTTTACTTGAGATGGACCATATGCTATTACATATAGCAAATCCTAGAGGAAGTCAGAAGGTGCAATACATTGAAATTCAAGCAATGGCAGCCTTTACAGGTGCAGTGAGACACAAGTAATAGAAAAGTGAAAGCAATTAGCAATTCAATGACCCTTCCCAAGACTAAGGAATAAGCCTCTCTGAACTCAGTGGCACATATGAGTTGAGTAGACATGCACAGCATTGAAATCCTGTACAGTACTCTACATACTGGTCAGTATATAGTACTTATTTCTTTAAATAGTCATGTACTCAATTGCACTGTTGTCTCTTTCTTGAGAATACTCCATCCCCCAAAGATTTAAATAAAATTAATTACCACTGATATTACCAAAACTCTACTCTGATCTACCTATAGAAATCCATTCACTGACTACTTCTGCTTTTGAATCGATTGTTACTATTTTCGTGCTCATACACCCCAGCAACAGGGGAATAGAAACTTAGATTTAAGGAGCAAGGTGCCTCCAAAATCAGTCCATGAATTTATTTACAGTTCCAGAAGTTTGCTCACAAAGTTTACATGTAAAAATCCATATCGGGTTTTCCCCAAACATTTTCTGCTAACATAGTAGTGCTTGCTATTATTCTAATTCAGAGGGGTACAACTCTTTCTGGGCGACAAGCAACATTCCCCAAAGTAGGAGAAACATATGGAACCTGAAAAACTGAACAAATAGGAAAGAGATGATCCATCAAAAAGCCAGGCTAAAGGACTCAACATTTCTATTAAGTTCCAAGAATATGGGTTGGCTGGGGGGGGGGGGGAATGTTGCCCAATTAATGCTAAGGCAAAGGACACATAAGGCAGGACAAGAGTTCCCATTAATGGTGGAATGGATTGCCAAGAAATTCGTTAAGAGCTAAGTTTTCTGCAGATTCATATGACAACAATAGAGCTCGTGATAAATTGATGGAGCATCTGTGATCCACTAATACTGTGAGAACAAGTGGGTTCAAATGGTCAGAAAAAACCATAGGGAAAAGCTCAGAGACAATGGTGGGTGAAGGGGCAGCAGATGGAAGAGAAGCTTGCTCATAGCATACATGGTTCTTCTAAAACACTGAATCAATGTTTATTCTCCATATTGCTTTTTATATTTACCTAGAATTTCAGTGGAAAACCTAAAACAGAGAAATACGACTTCAGCAACAGAGAGGTCAATGCCTGGAATGCACTACCTGACTCTGTTGTTACATCCCCAAACCCCCATAATTTTAACCTAAGACTGTCTAATGTCACCCTCACTTCATTCCTAAGAAGTCTGTAAGTGTGCATAAGTGCACCAGCGTGCCTTCCGTCCCTGTTTTACTATCTCCATTTATTGGTACCCATTTACTGTGTTCATATTTATGTTTATACTTATACCTGTTATCTTTTACATGTTTGACAAAATAATATAAAATATAAAATAATAATATAAAATATAAAATAATAATATAAATATAAAATAATAATATAAAATATAAAATAATATAAAATATAAAATAACATAAAACATAAAACATAAAACATAAAACATAAAACATAAAACATAAAACATAAAACATAAAACATAAAACATAAAACATAAAACATA